TTGGGTTGGTCCACCGCTTCCTGGTTGGGTTGGTCCACCGCTACCTGGTTGAGTTGGTCCACCGCTGCCTGGTTGAGTTGGTCCACCACTTCCTGGTTGAGTTGGTCCACCGCTACCTGGTTGAGTTGGTCCATCGTTGGCTGGAGTGTCGTCATCATAGTCTGTTTCAAATAAGTTAAATCTATCTTATTTCCTGGTAAATATTACATTATAGTTGCTCTATTATGCAGCTCTTATTATTTTCTGGAGTATATTATTTTTATAGCTTGAGTTCTGTATAATCTATGTTTAAGTTTTGGATCTGTATTTTTGAGACAATTATTTTGGATTAAAGGTCGGTATTTCGTTGTTTTGTTCTTTTAAGATAAACTTGTAGATATCAAAAGATAACATAGCTGAGCAATGGGTCTGTCTATTCTGCATTGCAACGCTTAATTATAATTTCTGTGTTTGATTTTTTTTGATACGTTAGTTTAAATTTTGATTTTTTGTGTTTTTAATTGTGTTATAAGTGTTGATTTGTCTTTGAACTCATGGAATGTCTTATTATTATACGAATCTAACTAATCTTATACATGTGAATGTTTAGATGGATGGATGGACGTTTAAGGTATCTCTTGAACGACTCAACGGATCTCGCTGAGATTTGGCATATTTGTAGAACATAGTCTGGAAGAACACATAGGCTACTACTTATTATTGTCTTTTTTAATTCCGCGCAGACGGAGGAGCGGGTGTCAGCTGGTTCGATATATAACAAACATTCAATAAAGAAACGCGATGAGACAAAAGGCGGCAATTTCAGCAATGCAGGGACGACCAAGTACCCGTGATGGATTTTAGCTAGCTACCAATCCGGTGTCTTCACCATTCTTTTATATTTCAAGAAAGTTTAAATCGGTATTTAATATTTTACCTGTCTCATATGAGTCCGTTTCAATTAATTCTGTTGATGTTGAACTTGAACTTTTGCTTCTACTTCTACTGTTTGCCTTGCTCTTAATAATCGATGTAGTTGTTCCTGCGATGAAAAAAAAATGTTAAATATTACATTTACAATCCTCTTGTTTGGAACATATTTGAAATTGATGTCAAAGTACAGTGTAATGGTGAAAACATACACAAAGATACTACAACCAACTACATTCAGTTTAAACTATGTTTTGTAAAAAAAAATTAAGTCAATCAACATAATTTCCTAACATTTAATGCAAGGATGTTCACCAAGCAGTAGCAGAGAGGCAGCTGTCTTGCAGGGAATAGAAAAATGTTAAATAGATAAACTACAATGAAATAACAACAACCCTAAATATATAACTCTAAAACGACTTGTCAGTTCATAAAATAAATGGGTACAAGTTGAAAAAAAATCAAAATAAAAACGAACACGCACTGAGCCACTAACAACTAATAACTAGTCACCCCCAACTTAGGGTAAGTTCCGAGCACCTCAGTAGGGACTTATAGTGAGCTGATGAAAAAGAAGAGGAATTAAAATAATTTTTACTACAAGCCTCCCCTGATAGTCGGCTACCTCGAACAGTGGCTAACAACGCCCTTCCCACAATGTTCACGTTATCAGAATTATGCACTTATTAAAGAGGGTAATGTAGCTAACCCTACAACCGTATCGATGGCTCCTATAAATAAGGCCCAAAGTTTAACTAATATATTGCACTAAAAAGATACATTCAAAAGTTGTGAAAACTATTTTTCCTGACAGACAATGGCACAATTACATATAAACCATAAACTAATTAGTTTCTCGCATTTTCGTTAACTTAATCGGCTAAACTTATTTTTTTTTTAAGAGGGAGAATGCGTTACGCAGGCTAGCTTACCACTCAAATGACGGAATTAAAGAAAATTTTGAAAATCACGTTAAAGTAAAAGTTAAAAGGCCAGTGGAAGTTTTTTTTATATCATAAGGTGGTAACGAGCGAGCGGTCACCTGAAATCGCTGAAATAGCGAAGCGACCGTTGTCCATAGACATACGCAATTGCATATACGTTGCCTACCTTTAATCGACGGAGGAGAGGATGCACAGAAAGAAAATATTTTCCCTTTCCATGCATCCTCTCATCCGGAAAGTCCACTTCCACTTCCCATCCTGTCCTTATAAGAAAAAGTGCGGGAAGGGAAAGAGAACTAATATTGGCCTCCGGGACGCACACTCATCAGACGAAACGCGGAATTGCTTCCACTTCACGCCTGTCTTCTGTGTGGTCGTGGTATTTTACCGGGCGAGCCGGGCCGATTCGTGCGAAGATGTTAAAGCGGGCTCTACCACAAGTAGTAAAGAAGTAGTCAATTACCAATAGTGCCGGTCTGTGTTGTCGTTATGATGTCAGTCTCAGTAGATGCTTCTAAATCGGCTTCGGACATAGCATTCGATTTTGATTTAAAGATCTTTTTGGTCCTCTTCTTTCCTATATAAAACAATGATAATCTATGATGACATTACGATAATATTATTTTAAAGAAATCCACTTTAAAATAAATTCGAAGTTAATTCGAGGCAAAATTTACAAATAAATAATAATAATATGAACCTGGCTTCAGTTTTTTGACTGGTTTAGTTGGTCCACCCCTGCCTGGTTGAGTTGGTC